GGGGGAGGATCTGGAGTGCCTCTGTCAGATAATGAGAACAGTGGGGCCGAGACTCGACCATGAGAAAGCAAAGGTAACAGCTCCATCCTTTTAATGGCACCACAACCATCTGTAGGCTGTATGTGGCTCTCTGTGTGTGTGCGTGTGTGTGTGGAACAACATGTCAGATTCAACTCACAAGGACAATGTGTGTCAAAGTATGACCTGTTCATGTGTCAGCCAGTTATTTATGCTTTTACGTAGTGCACACCTGTAAACTGTGTTTTCATTGTTATCGCCATATGAACATGTGCAATTAACACATCCCAAAAAGACTGCCAGAAATATGATGAATTTTAAAAAGCAATTATTTACACCTGCCAAGCGCCAAATGTGATATTCTGTTCAGTGAGTAAATCTCAGAAGGCTGTCCACCACACTGCTGGGTAACAGATAGGATTCAGGGTTTTTTTAGCTTGGCGCCACCTAGCGTCATCAGTGTTGCTCGCATTGTCGCAACGACCAAATTGATATCATTGGTAACCCTGTCTGAGGGTTGCCGTAGAATGGCAACAAGGATGTCAGCCGACCAACACTTGCTACCCGCTCCCTGGTTGCGGCGATTTGCGATACTGGCCAGCTAGGAATGAACTAGCAGCCAGTACAGTACAGTCCTCTCTGGTCTAGCTAACATTTAGCCGTGTTACTTACTGATCCATTAGAAAGATAGTTAGCTGGACATTGGTTTTGAAGCCTCTTTGGTCACGGAGCTCCCTCCATCTCTTGAACTCCTGACTGAGGTTTACTCTTGTTTTTCCTCTTCTTTTATCACTCTCCTTTTTGCTCTTCTTTGCCTCCTCACACAGAGGAGCTCCTTTTCTTTTGCTAGGCTGTTTTTCACTTGTCTCCAAACTTTGTCCTTCTGCCATTGTGCTCGTGACTCAACTATCTCATGCTCAGCTCCGAATAAGGACCAGCTCCAGTCCCTGATTGGCTGACCGACCAATTTCGCAATACATGACGCGTTTCCTGCCGTAAAGCAGATTTTTTTCTGCGAAATTTCGGCACCGGTGGCAGAAGCTTATTGCACCGCCACTAAGTAACCTATGTAAACACTGATAGTCTGATTTTACTGTGGCCACTACCTTGTGCAACCCACATTATTTTCATAATGATATATTTAGGAAAAGATGCTATCTGTTGCCTCTCTAAGAGAAACTTTTAAGTTGCTTTACAGTAGCATTTTTTTTTTAATTTAAAAACCAAAGTTATATCACAATATGCATGTTGACTTATTTATTTAATTTCTTAATTCAGTGGATGGAGGCTATCCAATGTTTGGGGTCAGTGTTAGATGTGTTCCCAGCAAAGCAAAAAATGAACTGTACCACTACCATGCATACTGTGATATTTGTTCATTTATCTAAAGTCATGTCGACACCGCAGTGTCGAACTGTGTTACCGCACACAGCAGATTTTTCTCTTGTCGTGCAGAAGTAAAAGCTTTATTAAAAGCTTAATTTCCATGGTCAGGATGGTAAACCCAAAGCAGACATTTTACATAATGCATTTGGCCGGCTAGTTTTTGGACTCTGCCTGTGTCTTTTCTTGGCGCCTTTGTGCCCCTGCCCGGTCGACCGTGTCATCTCAGGTCACCATCTGGCTGGACGCAGACTCACCTAAAGCCCCAGTTGGCTCACAGCCACTGCTAACGTAACTCCTGCTGTCATGCTGTATGTTCAATCTCTGCCTGTCCTCACTCCCCTCCTCTCTCCATACTCTCTCCAGTCTTTAATGGATCAGTATTTTGGCCGTATGCGATCCTTAATGAACAACAAGGAGTTGCCCGCAAGGATCCGCTTCCTGCTGCAAGACACAGTGGAACTGCGAGAAAACAACTGGGTCCCCCGCAAGGCTTTCATCGACAACGGACCAAAGACGATTAACCAGATCCGTCAGGATGCAGTGAAAGTGAGTCCGGGGGAAATAATAGTGCTCATTGTTTAGATCGCCCACATTCAGGGATGATTAATAGTTAATGTCCAACATCAGGGGCTGAGGTCGAGGCGTGCATGTGTTCCAGGGCTCCATAAATACACGTGTAACATTATAACCTGTCACCTCACAAAGACGCCGTTTCTTTACACCAGCAGACAACTTATTGTGAACAGAGTGAGTCAGCAGTAAGTTTTCCAACAATAAAGAATGTGCAGGATGTAATTAAGTTGCGGGTGTGATAATAATTATGTGGTTTAGTGTGAAGTGTGGGACTCTCTGAGTTAATATTAGAAATCCAAGTTAGGTTCAGGGTCGAACTTGTAATCATGACACCAGCTCTGTTGTGTGTGTTCCTGCAGGATTTGGGTGTTTTCATCCCAGCACCCATGTCTCAGGGGATGAGGATGGACTTCTTCTTGGAAAGCCCCTTCATGCCCAACAGAATGAAGCTGGACAGGGAGACTCTCGGGGGATTGGCCGATATGTTTGGGCAGATGCCAGGTACAGGCTTTTTTCCTTCAGCGTCTAGACCTGCGTGGCCACATCTCATGTTTTCATGTCATTTTCACATCGTCAGTGTTAAAAGTGGACACACTTGTTATTCTTACAGGCATGTTAAAGCAGTGTAAAATGTTTGATTTACCTTAAAGATAAAACTGTTTTTATGATCACCTCAGGGTGGTAATTTCATACAGACTGGAACTGCATTGCTAGGCAACAGTTTAGGTCCATGTTTACTTCCTGTCAGCTGGAAATACAAAAGGATCCATTTAGACTGTTTATGTTGTTTGAAATGTTCTATAGACTGAATCACAGTGTTTGCTTACAATAACCTCACAGTAGAAAAACCTCACGTCACATTAAGGCTGTGCAATTAATCGTCTGGTGATCGCGATTACAATTTTGAGGCCAAACGATTTCAAAATTAGTGAAATCGAGGGTAAACGATTTTTGGTCACGGACGCCTTGAGATGTTATTTTGTCTTCTACGAAAGCCGTGCATGTGCAATACCGTCCCCTCCTCTCCTCTCCTCTATTCGATACAGAGAGCAGAGGAGAATTGTAAACGTGCGACCATGTAGCGACAGAAATTACATGCCGTCGCGTGAACAATATGTCATCACGTGCAGCGCATAATCGTGATTTCAATTTTGACCAAAATAATCGTGATTATGATTTTCCATAATCGAGCAGTCCCACGTCACATACATAAAAGGAAACAGTGCTGAGCAAACATTGCATTGTTTGTTTGGTTTTTTTGGGCTGCCTAAAAAAAATCAATATCAGTTTAAGTGTTCACTACATTTAGAATATTTACTCCACTTCACCATAACATCAGACAACCTTTTTCTGCCATTATTTTTAAGCTACCAGACTGCATTGACAATAACATTTTACTCCAAAGACGGTGGAGTCGCTGGTCTACAGCTGCCTGCATCAGTTTGTGTGTGAGGTACAGCAGCAAAAAAGCGTATACTAAAATTGATACAATTTAATTAGGTGGCACAATTGTGTATTATTGCAGTTTCCGTCCACAGCATTTCATTACTTAGCTCCCACGTCAGTAGATTTGGATTATCAAAGATGCAAGTAAAGCACCAAGGTGCACAAAGTAAACACAGCAGAAGTAAAATCTGAGATTTACATCTAAACACGTTCTATATGTTAGAAAACACTTGTTAGAGACTGGAAATTATGTCATACATACAACAAAGTAACACTTTGCACATCTATTTCCAAACAGGTGCATAGAAGAGGGATGAGCAACATGCAGAAAAACTCCTACACACTGTCTAACGTGCAGAATAATGACATTAATATTGCGATGTTTCAGTAAGTAGACCTTCATCAGACAAATTACATAGGTCTAGTTACTGAAAGGTCTCAGCATTAAAATCATGCTAAAAGCCTGCTGGATGATTCAGTGGAGCAACTCTTAGCACTGGCCCCGCCCCTTCGCTACATAGAAGTTTTGTACTTGTTGGAAAAAACAAATAAAAATGAGGTTGATATTTGGGCAGGTCAGTGTTCTCTGGTTTCAAATTTGATTCTGGCTCTGGTGGCTCAAACACTCACGGCTGTGCAGTCCAACAAAGCTGCTACATGGAGCATCCATTGTAGTTCTACAATAAAAGAGTCTGCAGCTTTCCTGTGATCGGGTGTGGCTCGAGCACATTCAGCGGACACACCCCCAGAATCTCGGAGCAGAGAATGCTGCCTACTTTTTTTCATTATTGTTTAATGTGATTTTATAGATCTCAGGACTGTTTGTAATCATTCAGATTTGGCTGGTTGCTGAATAACATTTTTTTGTGGTGTGATAAACTCATTGCGCAATTTTATTTTTGCTTTACCCAGACGTTACCTACATACCTTTACAGTTACTGCTGAAATCACACAAAAAAATGAATAAGATAACAGACTTCACACATCTCCATAATTCAGATCAGGTGTCTCCTGGAAGTGATTGTTGCTGTCAGTGTGACATCACAGTGATTCAGTTTGTATTTCGCCATGTTTCTCCTGCTGGGACCTCCTCCTCTGTGCAGAATCTCTACTGACACCATCTCTGTGTGTTGTTTACTCAGGCAGTGGTATTGGAACTGGCCCGGGGGTTATTCAGGATAGGTACTCGCCCACTATGGGACGCCATCGCACCAACCCGCTCTTCAACGGCCACAGCGGCCACATCGCCCCTCCACCACAGTCACAGTTCGACATGGGGCCAAAGTCTTTTGTTAAGTCCAACCAGGTAACAGATTATTATTATTTTAATAAACAGTGATCGATGTTCTTCTACAGATCCTGAGGTCAGAGGTTAAGATGATCCACTCTGCTCATGTGACTTTAAACAGGTTCAGAACCAGCATTTCCTCAACCAGAACCAGAACCACTTGGCCCAGCAGCAGGTCCAGTCCAAGGACATGCCTCCACGATTCAGCAAGAAAGGACAGCTCAATGCAGATGAGGTAACATGAGCGAGCTGCAGCTGGGTCTCAGGATAAAAACAAAAACAAGTCTTCGTGCCCAGTGATTATAAAAAGACGCGTTATTCTGAGGAACACACCAGGCTACCAGTCTGTCCTCCACCTTGTGCTCTGTCTTTGATGTCCATCTCTCTTATTCCTCCTCCTCCTCCTCCTCCTCCTCCTCCTCTCTTCTAACTGGTAGCTGGTCCGCTGACTGCGATTATGAGATATGAGGGCATGGGATTATCTAATATGCAGATTTTGAATATTTTAAACATCGTGACTAATTCTAATGTACGCTCTGTGTTTGTTACGCTTCCTGGTCCCACAGATCAGCCTCAGGCCTGCTCAGTCATTCCTCCTCAACAAGAACCAGGTACCCAAGCTCCAGCCCCAGATCCCCACCATGATGCCTCCTAGTGCCCAACCCCCACGCACTCAAACCCCCCCTCTGGGACAGGTAACAGACCCTTCTCACAGTTTAACTAAACGGAAGGTTAAAAACACAAAGATAGAGAAAACAATAATTATATGACAGTGAGTGTGTGAAAGGGAAAAAAAGACGCCCAGCCAAACCCAGTGATCACGCTGGATCTATATCTGTGTTTTAATCACATGACCTTTTTGCTTCAGCCTCCACAGCTTGGCCTGAAGACCAACCCTCCGCCCATCCAAGAGAAACCTCAGAAGACAAACAAGAAACCTCCTCCTGCCAGGGAGGAACTGCTGAAAATGACGGTAAGCAAAACAACAAATCTTTGTGCTGCAGTACTTAAATAATGGAAATACTGTGCTACAGATTTGATTGGGCACAGTTAAACAGCAAGGACTGCAGTCGAGAGGAGCAATCAGGAATACATCCATTAAACTATTGCCACAACCTACATTTCTGTACTGGAAAAGAACTGAAAAGAGTTTCACTAAAGAACCAAACCAGAAACATAACCTCCATATCTGAGTCTTCTCAGCAGTTGAGAGCACAGATCAGTTTCTTATTTTTCAAGTTTGGTGATCAGACCGGCCACAGCTCATCTCTGTGCTCTTGAATCTCCACTTCAGGAGGCAATCGTGACTGAGTACTTGAACAGTAAGAACCTGACCGAGGCTGTGAGCGGCGTGCGAGACATGAAGGCTCCCAAGCACTTCCTGCCAGAGATGCTGAGTAAGATCATCGTGTGTTCTCTGGACCGTCCTGATGAGGACAAGGAGCACGCCAGCACTCTGATCCACACGCTCCGCACGGAGGGCCTCATCACTGGAGAGAACTTCATGCAGGTACAAACGCATCCCTCTGATATCACACTCAAACCACACTGATGAAATATGTTTTAAATATAACTGTGAAAATGTATAAAGTACAAAGGCATAATTGAGTCACAGAAGCAGTTATTGGTCTCTATTTGTAATTATTAATATCCAGCACAACATTTCAAGGATTTGTTTAAAGTGTGAGGAAACAAAAATCATCTCTCCGCCTGGTTTTAACATTTTGAATGACACTGATTGGCCCGTAGACACAGCTGTAATTAACCATGACATACTTGTCACTGATGAGCCCAGAGGGCGACGACATCATTATTCATGCGTTGACATTTCCCTCCCTCTCATGCAGGCTTTCCTCAACGTCCTGGACCAGTGCCCTAAGATCGAGCTGGACGTTCCCCTGGTGAAGTCCTACCTGGCCCAGTTTGCGGCTCGGGCCATCATCGCAGAGCTGGTGAGCGTGGCGGAGCTGGCTCACCCCCTGGAGAACGGCACGCACTTCCCTCTCTTCCTGCTCTGCCTGCAACAGACGGCCAAGCTGAAGGACCGAGAGTGGCTCACCGACCTCTTCCAGCAGAGCAAGGTCAACATGCAGAAGATGCTCCCAGGTACAGTGCAGCTCATTGAAGTTAGCTACAGTATAAACATACCAGTGGGTTAGATCTTCTCCCACTCCTCTGCTCTGATTCATCCCACTGAGGGAGCAGCTGTGACCCTCTGAGTAACTGACTCGCTCCTCTCGGCAGAAATCGATCAGAACAAGGACCGCATGCTGGAGATCCTGGAGGGGAAGGGCCTGAGCTTCCTGTTCCCACTGCTGAAGCTGGAGAAGGAGCTGCTGAAGCAGATAAAGGCAGACCCCTCTCCGCAGTCCATCTACAAGTGGATTAAAGACAACATCTCACCCAAGCTTCACACTGATAAAGGCTTTGTCAACATCCTCATGACCAGGTAAAATCTTCAGCAGGTATTTCATAAGTTTATTTTTGTCGGCCCCCAGCAGTAAACAGGAGGGCTGGGACGTCAGCTTACCGTCCCTCTACTGTTGGCGTTGGGTAAAACTGAAACTAAGAAGCCACTGCTGGTTCTGGAGTGAATGTCTGCCTGATGTTAACAGTTTTAGTTAATATTTGACAGAGGGACCACTGATGAAAACTAACTACTCAGATACTGTGTTTGTTTAAATGATTAATGTACATTGTCCCTTCTTAAATCAGCAAATTACAGCTTAAGACTTGCTTGCTGTTGACAGCAGTGTTTCAGACTAGACCTGAGTGTAGAACAAAAGATTGGAGCGCGTGCAGTCAGTGTGTTCTCTCTGCATACAGTCCATGCTGTCACCAAAAAATGGGCTGCACACAGACGTCCACCCTCGTGAAGATGGATTGATGATGACATTTACATCACATGGACCTTCGCTGACACGTGGAAGTGGGAAATAAGAAAATTAGGTAGTTGTGTTTTTTGTACACAGACGGGAGGAGGCTGAAGTCATGGTGGATATTTTATCAGTGCAAAGGTGTATAAATTCAAACAAAGTAAAGACCACTGTATGAGAAATGTTCCACATTCAGCCCTTCATGTAATCAACGTTGCCTTCTGATCCTCTCTCAGTTTCCTCCAGTACATCTCCCAGGAGCTGTGCATGGCGGAGGGCGACGAGCAGCTGGCGGCCCCCTCCAAAGAGCAGCTGGAGCAGGAGAAGCAGCTGCTGCTGGCCTTCAAGCCCGTCATGCAGAAGTTCCTGCACGACCATACTGAGCTGCAGGTCAGCGCCCTCTACGCCTTGCAGGTGCACTGCAATGCCAACACGTTCCCGAAAGGTATGGGACCCCGTGAAGTCTTGGACCGAGAGTCGTGTACATGTCAGCCAATAAGTCACCAAAAACTGCACTACAGAATGTTAGAGTACAGTCAGGCTAGTTTAGAAACGGTGTCTCAGTTCCCCGTGTCTGGGCCATGACGTGTTTTTCACTCTCACATCATATGCTATAGGTGAGCTCTCCTTTTAATCACACAGCTGTCTCCACCGGCTCTGTGCAGGCTCATGTCTCTGCTGCAGCTCCCAAGTGTAAACTCTACCTGAAGCTTTATTTACACTTCAGGTTTATTTCTTTTGACTGGTTTGTAATCCCTCACACTCTCAGCTGGGAAACAAAATGCAGGAACTTGAGTGTATGTTCCAGTTCACCCATGAACAAACACTTCTCAGTAACCACGGACATTTACTGCCTCAGCTGCACAAAAAGTCCGGCTGCTTCTTTGCTGCTTTGAAATTTCTAGGCATGATGAAACCAGTGTAGACGGACGCTTTAGTGTCACGTGAACGCTGTCATGATATTTGCCATCTAGACTCAGGGTCCCATAGTTTATCCACCAGAGAGAGCTGACAGCGGCAAAATGTCCCGCTTCACAATTCATTTGGTAATAATTCGGCGCCAGTGATAGCCGTGGCCGAAGGCATTATGTTTGCAGGTTGTCTGTACGTGTGTCCACAAATACGCACGTCCCATGCTTGAGAGCCAAATCGTAAGATTGTCTCGAGGGAATTTCTTCAAATTTGGCACAAATGTACACTTGAACTCAACATTGAACTGATTAGATTTTGGTGGTCAAAGGTCAAGGTCTAACACCAGCACTGGCTAAAAGATGATCTTAATGCTCGTACAGTTTTTCTTCGAAAGGTATGTTTGTTACTAAAGCAACAACTCATGGTTCAGGTGTTTTAAGTTTCTAGTGGAACAAAATCACTTGTTTTTTAGTGGAAACACTGACTAAAGGTTTTTAAAAACTTCTCTCCACTAAGGCATGCTGCTGCGCTACTTCGTCAACTTCTACGACATGGAGATCATTGAAGAAGAAGCCTTCCTCGCATGGAAAGAAGACATTACCCAAGAATTCCCTGGAAAAGGAAAAGCTTTATTCCAGGTACAGTGATGTTGTCACAGGGGGTGTCTGTCATGAAAACAAACTGCCTTTTGATTCCTGTGAGTGGATGTCCTTCGTTATTCACAATCCTCGTGTTACATCTTGGAGTTAACACGAATTTCTGCTTTGTTTTCCCTCCGTCAGGTCAACCAGTGGCTCACCTGGCTGGAGACAGCGGAGGAAGAGGAGTCAGAGGACGAAGCAGACTGAGAAACCAAGAAGAAGCATCACGGTGTAGAAGATCGACCTTCTCTCATTAGTACACTCGCCTTTCCTTTATTTAACTCCATTCTTGATTTAACCACTACCACGTGGCACTTAGCTGCTTCTGCCTCGCAAATATAAACCGAAAGCTTGTAGAGCCTCGCGTGTCACCACCCGCTCCGTGACGACGGGCCAGGGAGCATCATTTGACCTGTTGCCTGATGGATGTTTGATTTTCGGATCTGTGTCCTGATCAGCTTACATGAATTCTGCAGTCTGCAGTGGCTCAACCATGTCTCGTCGCTCAGACTCTGTTCAGTTCGTAACTTTTTTTTTTTTTTTTTTTTTTTAATCACTTTATTGCATGTTTTTCATTTCCACTCGATTTTTACTGATTTGAATTTTCCCCAGTAGGAAGCCGCTTTATTTAAGAATGCGTAGAACTTCCCTCTAAATAAGTCAAACTAGTGGTTTATGGTCACTGGTTAACAGACCATTAACAGAAAGTGTTGTCAGTGAGATGCTTCAAGATCTTCTGGAAGGGCCCAGCCTGGATTGTGTCTCCATCACCCTCATGTGATCCTTAACAAACAGCAGAGGGGACCTAAGATCAGCAGACAGGCTGCAGTGATATTTGTGACGTTCAGCCTTTGTTTCAGGAAGTGTGATGAACAAGGAGAGGAAGTGGGAGTGAAGCATAAACTGGCAAAGCATTTAAAATGAATTAAGGTGTGTTTAGTCGACCTACGCTTACTAAAAACTGTTCTCCGCTTTTTTCTTTTTTCTTTTTTTTTTTTTGAATAAAAGTGCTCTTCGTAGTCGCTGATGATGAGCATCTTCCTTT